CTGCAACACCAGCCTCTGTATTTCAGAAGAGGAGAGAAATGCCAAGGGCTCCTTCAGGGAGTGAACACAACCCAAGAGGTCAGTCCAAAGCATTCAATTATAAATTCTTTGGGGTGAGGCCATCCTGGTGGCTGCCCTTGGGCACTGCAGCGATGCTGAGCGCAGAAGCAGTTATGATCATGAACCACAGATGAGTATTTTGGCCGAGATGCTTTTATCAAAGCCACTTTCAAGCAGAGGAAGGCAGGCCCTGCGGTCACTAACATGACATCCCTTGGCCCTGCCAGCTTCAAAGGGGAAGGATTTACCCTGCTGTCCTGAGGGATCTGTCACATCCACCTGATTTATGTCTGAACCCAGCATGTGCCAGCAGTAGCTAGATTTGCCCTGTCACAACTTCAGCCCTGACCTGGCTGGAGGCTACAAACATCCCTCTGAAAGGCCTCATTTCAGATGTGGCTTTACCACTTTGGACACCATCACTGTGGTCTGGCAGCTCCTTATGATGCCACATCCAGGCCCCTTAACACTCCCACAAAAGCACGCTGATTGAATCATGCCTCTAATTGCTTTCCTCATTGCACAGACATAAAATTCCTCTCCATAACAGAGATGAACTACTTCAGCCTGCACACCTCTAGCTCCTGTTCAACTTCCTACAGCAGCTTCCCTGCTGCCTGCTCCCCTCTGAGCCACACCTCACTGCTGATCCTCAGCCTCCTCTCTTTGTGCTTCCACCTGCATCCTTCGTCCCCGTTTTTGGGGAGCTGTGGGGTCGGCTTCCTCCCTCGGGCTGCCCTCCGGTGGCCGCATGGGAAAAATGCAGCGTCAGCTCTTGCTGCAGGGCACCAAAGGGGAAAATCCCCCCCCTTCCCTCCAGCCCATGCAGCTTCCACAGCTGTCTTTTCACTCTGAAAAATAAATGCTTCTCTCTTCTATACAGTCTTTGGCTGCTAGTATGTGCTGGTTAGCTAGAAGCACTGCAGAGCACAGAACATGGAATTGTCTCACTCTTCTGCCCTGGCCCATCACAACCAACAGTAGGAAAGGGAGATGGACGAGGGAGATGGATATATGATGCTCACAGAGATTGTCTCTAATCCCAGAGGAGCTCTGAAGGCCATGGGGAGGCTTAAATTTGGTACCCCGGCCTTCTAGGGGGCAGTTTTCTTGCACCCCCATGACTCAAGGGCATCTCACTGCTGCTGCAGAGCAGTTTCAAGGCTGGTGGGTGACACACTCATACCCTCCTAACCCTTGTTCTCCTCATGCAAGACATTCATGCTGTCATCCAGGCCCAAGCAGCTCCTGGGACTGTTCATAGCATCACTGAGCTGCTGTCCAAAGTGCCAGCTGGAGCTCATTACTGGCACTGCCAGACCCAAGTTGTTCCTGCTGGGGTTGCTGGAAGTTTCCGGGCAGAACCTCAGGTTGAATAGATGGCACTGAGCCACCATCTTGATAACTGTCCATGGAAATAGCTGTTTCCCTTCTGGAGTCAAACCCATCTTCCCCTCAGGCCTCTCTGCTGGAAGTGGGACAGCCATTATCAAACCCAGCTGAGCAGCCACATGGCTCTGCACTTGCCTGAACCTCCTGAAGGTCATGGTTTTGCAAAAAGAGAAGGAAAAAACTGTGAACCTCAGATTATTTAAACACTGGAAAACTACTTTGAATCACTACCTGGAAGGGGTGCATACAGAAGACCTCTGCGACTCTCCCTGCTGCTCATTCTGATGCCCTATGCAATGCTGTGTCAGCTCATTGCTGGAGGGAACTGCATGAGCAGTGAAGAAGCTGCTATTGGAGAAATTGTCATCTCCATAAGCAAGTGAAGGCCAATGTATGAAGAGGGCCAAACTCCATGAGATGTTGCCTAATATAGCTCTTTTCAGAAGTCAGTGCTATCTCACAGCTTGAAAGGGTTCATGATGTGCAAGCTCAGAACGTGTCAGGTTTTTCTTGTTTGGCCATTTGTAGCTTTCTTCCTGCTCTTCATATCTCCATCTGCTACTGCTGGGTTGGCTGCCAAAGACTGCTTCTGTCCTAAAGACCAGCCACAAAGACACTAGCAGGTCCTGCAGAAGGCTGTGCCATGGTGGGAAGGAGAGGAGCCCCACGCAAGGTGAGATGAAAGACCACGAAGTTTTCATCCATCAGAGAACACCACGACAACAGTTAAGTGTGATTGGCAGGAAAGACAGATCTGGAGAAATCCCAGAGGAGTTCACTCAGAAACCGAGCGCTATTTTGAGGCCACATTTGATGTGTCAGAGCATAGGTAACAGGCACTGTTCTTATGGAGATGAGGCTGCATGCTGGTGACTAAACCCACCAGATGTGAGGCTAAATCAGACACTGCTTAGGGCAGGTGTCCCATTTAATCACCATCTTGAAGAACAGGTTGGGCCCAGATCCAAGAAACCTGGTGGACAGGAATCAAGGTCTAAGTCCCGCTCCCAGCTCAGCCACCAAGCTAGGAGGTGAATTGTGGACAACTCAGTCCTCCATGCTGTGGCTGTTCTCCCCTCTGCAAAGTGCCTTGGTCCAAGAAATGTTAGTGCTATCTGTGTTTGTGCAGCATCCATCAACAGGCTCTGAATTGCTTTTTGCAGTGGTGAAGCCACCCTAAAATACCTCGGTAGTAAGTTGCTCGAAGAACAGCATCCAATTACAGAAAAGAAAAGGATGGATGACATCTGCCATTGATTCTTTAGGAGGAGGATAGGAGGAAGATGGCACCTACTGTCATATCCCAGGATATAAGCGGAGATGATCTCCCTTTCTCTCAGAGCTGCTGTTTCTGCTGCAAGGCATGGGCTGACCCTGCTGTCAACTCCAGCACTGCACAGGAGGAGGGGACATATTCTAATGTCTGGGCAGGAGATGCCAAGGTTTCTTGGTGCTGAGCTGCCTGCCCTTCCCAGCAGGCTCAGCTTGTCACGTTAGATTCACTCTGATGTCACTCATTTGACTGAAGTGGCTCAATTCCTCCCAATGTACAGGGCTGGGACAACAGAGCTTGCTGATGAAGCCAGTGTGTCTGTTAGAAGGAAGGACAGCCAGCAAGAAACCAAGAGTATCTTTACTCAGCACCATTTCTGAAGGGCACAGCTTGGGTGCATACACAGACCAAGCCAGCTGAGGACCTTTTGCCAAGGCTTCATATCCCTCTGGCAAGTCAGGATCCAAGGAGAGGACCTAAAAGTGAGGACCTGGACCTTTGAAAATGCTCCAGCAGTTTGGTTATCCAGTTCCTAGCAAGGGTCAAAGCAGATGTACCAACATCTCTTCCTAAGAGTGTTCCAAGGCCCCATGCTTGACTGGCCCTTGTTCCCCATCTGTCCATCTCCCCATACCTTGTCTGCTGCACACCAGCATTGTGGTGACTCATTTATGCCTGCTGGCTCCCTGCAGTAATTACCAGCAGAGCTTTCTGTCCTCACAGCTCTTGAGGTGGGCTCACGCTGTGATAAATAAGCTGCTTAGCAGCATGGAAAGAAATGGTATTTAAAGTTTAATATCTTTTTTTAGCACCTTTTCAAAGGATGCTGATTTTGTGATCTGTTTGGGAAGATGCAGTAGGTTTTGTTTGGGGAGTGGTGCAGGCAGTGGAAGGGGGAAATGTGTGTGTGTGTGGCATGGCAGAGCCAGGATGTGTCCCTTCTGTCTCACCTCTCTGCCTCTCATAGAAGCAACTGGTACCCTCATTACACAGTTTAATTTCAGTTTGGCAGCTTAATTTGGCGTTGCAGCTTTAGCCATATCAGTGCTTCACACCCATGCCCCCATCCAGTTCCTTTCTCAGGAGTAGAGAAAAATAATTATGACCCGGTAGCAGTAGACAAAATTTGCTACTCAAGTTCCCAGGGGACTCTCTGGTCCCTGCTGTGGGGTGACACAGTCTGTAGATCTCTGCTTTTCAGGCTGAGCATCCTGAGCTCACGCTGTAGTGCAGAAGCTCAGCTTTGTGCAGCTGCTTTAGTTTCTCTCCACAAAACCTGCTGAAATTTTGGCACTTACTTTCCCAGCCCCAAATCCTGTAGGAAAGTGAGGGGAAATAAAATAAGAAGCTCCTTTTCTCAGCCATGCAGTCATAAGGCTTAGACCTCCCATGACACTTTCTGTCCAGGTGCTGCAGGCAGCTCACTATGGATCTCAGCCAATGCTTAGCTTTCTCTCAGTCTTCAGGAGGGAGATTTACATCATTTAATGTCAAACCAACCACAGTGCTCTGGGAAGGTTGTTCACTGTCTTCACACTTCAGCTGGAGAGGCTGAGATGTGGGGAGGGAGTGGTGCAGCCCCTCACCCAAAGTAGCCCCCAAGTCAGAAGCAGAACGTTCATCCAACTTAGACATCTTGCTTTAATCACTAATCAATACTGTATCTTTTGGGATGGTGATGGGGCACAAGACACCTATCCTAAGCCAAGCTCATTGAGGTTCAAAAGCAGTAAGAAAAATTCTCAAGTCAAACTACCAAATGCTCTTGATGACCCTTATGGTCCCTTCCAACATAAGCCATTCTCTCCCAGATTCAGGCATCCCAAGGAAGATGCAAGGAGAGAACTATTGGCCAGCAGGCATGCATAAGCAAAGAGACTGTGGTGGGCACCACCCAAAATCACCTAGGCCTGGTGAGGCTGTAGCCAGCATTAGGCAAAAGGGGTTGCTGCTATTGCTATGAATTAATGGTTCAGTTTTCACAGCTCCAGGAAGGCTGGCAGATTCCAAACAAGCTCTCTGAATTCAAAGCCCTCTGCATGGAGTTACCAAGAACCTGTGAGTGATTCCAAAGGCTTGTAGTGCTTTGAGTAACAATTTATAACAACAAAAGCCTCATTTAAGACAGGGACCCCTGTGGGAATGTTCCTATTCATTTCTCTCTTCTGTGGGTAATTGGAAGGATGTAACAGGAAGATGACATTTAAGTTGTTTTACAAAAGTGGCAAGGAAAAAAATAAATAAAAGGAGTGAAGAAGAAAAAAAAAGAGGGAGTAAGATGGTTGGATAAGGTAAAGGAAAAAAAAAGTCTGGCTATGTTCTCCAGAATATAGGGAGTTTACAAATAACTGGAGGAAAGTTTGAACTGCATAGCAATCATGGATCACATCAGGGTGGTACCAGCTGTGTGTGCTGAGGACTGTGGAAAGGAGGCATGGAAGAAGGAAAGCTTCCTTACACACACAAGAGCACAGCTGATCCCTAAAGCTGATGGGCAGAGATCAGGTGTGGGTGGGAGGCAGATTTCAGACACAGCTGCCCATTGTCTTGACATAAGCAGGAGAGCCTGACTACTTCTGCTAGTGGCTAAAGAGGTGATGCTGTGTGTGGCTGGTGCTAAGGAACTTCAAACCTCTTCTAGATCCTGTATGGAATGAAGAAGACCAGGATCCAAAGGTTGGTGATACCTCCTCTCAAACAGGCTGGGCAAATCCTGCTGGGATGAAGAACTATATTTACCCTGCCTTGTGCGTAGGCAATGAACCTTCTTGTATTCTGTAGCTTTTCAGAGATTTACTACCTATTATAGTGGTTTAAATGTGTTCACTGTAATTGAACTCAAGGGGAAATACAAGCATTTAATGTCTCATGATTCCTAAAATATATAAAAAAAAGTACCTTTTTCTCCTCTGCTCTGCAGTAGTCCTGCCCATGGTGACAGGTTTGAGGAACCCATAGCTGAGGTTTAATCCACTGAGCTGAGCAGCTGCACGTGTGTGCAAAATCATTATAATGATCCCTAGCGGAAGGGCAGGTGGGAGAGGAAGGGTGGGTGACAAGTGGGGCATGTTCCTGCAATGCAGAGATAATTGGCCCTGCAATGGTAATGGCAAGCTGGCTGTCAGCCTCTAACAAAGTGTGCAAGAGATGAAGTGACACCCTGACAGGTCCTGCCGACGTCCTGCACTGCCCTGCCTCTGCCATGCAAATGATTACAGCCTTCCTACTGACATCCAGGAAACTAAATTGGAGGTAATGACATTCCTGAGGGGTTTGGAATAGGGATGGCACGAGGGAGCCATGCAGCTTTACACCTCGCTTGGGACGTCCTCTCTATTCTGCTCTCTTCCCTGTGAGGTCACAACACTTTCCTGTGGGGGTAATCACACGGGTGTGCTGAGGTTCTGTCCTTATCTATCCACCTATGCCAGCACAGCTGGGTACTGAACAGGATAGAGGTGAGACCTCTCAGCATCAACCTGGCTTTGGCTTTCTTTTGGTTTCCATGCGTTTTTTCTCTCCCTCCCATATCACATCTCAAACTGCCTTTCACGCTCTACTCTCTTGTTCTCCTCTACAGAAGCAAGGGGCCCGTGTTATGTGTGGACACAAGGAACAGCAAAAGAATGATATAAAGCACTCCTGTAGCTCCTACTGCAACAGCCTGGTTAATTTCAGGTCTCCTTAAAGCTGAATCTTGCATCACAAAGGGTACATTTCCATGCAAGAACAAAATGGTGACAATCTCTGTAGGTATCTACCAGGCTGCATTCCTGCTGAAATGATTTAGTGCAGATGAAGTATTGTGTTACTGATAGCAGCGTGCTCAAATCTAAATCCAGATGGGTTGTTGTAAACTTCTTGGGTCTCCCATTTTGCAGTAAAGTCGCATCGTTATCACATTGCATAGCTCATGGTTTAAACTTGCATTGTAATGGCCACACAAGGAACTGCATTTATTGTGACTATATGGAAGGATAGAGAGAGAGAACTTGAAACTTGTTGGCTGGAAAGAGTTACAAGCACATACAGCTTGTAAGCACCTCCTCATCATATTCAAGTTTGTCATATCTGAATAAATATGCTTGGAAATTGTCCATCACGAGGGAAAACAGTCATCTCAAGGGTACTGCTGAAAGCATGTGTCAAAGGTAAGGCTGTGGGCATGTAAATTGATTGAGAGTACTTAATTGGCACTGTTTTCTTTAGCACACTGATGTCATTCCAGAACAACCCAACCCCCAGCACGTTAACAGCAGGTTATACTCTGAGCCTATTTACTTCACAAGGTTATTTCCTTTGACTCCAATGCTTTAACCACTTCTGTACTGAAGTAGAGAGGGGTCAGATTCAGATATCTTCCATTTATATTGAATACATATAGATGTGTGTGTATATGTGTTTATATATTTCTTGCATTTGTTAAAAGAAAAATGCAGAGCACTTCCAAAATAGAAGATAATGGAAAATGCATTTGCATTCCCGTAACGTTCCCCAGCACAGAGCCCACTCTGAGAGATGTCAGTACACCTACTGACAGACCAAACTTCCCTATTTATAGGCAAAATACCCCAATGACGGAACAGCTTTCGTTCCTAAATGAATCGGAGAGCTATTTTACACCCCAAAACCACAGCCCTTCAATGCCTGCTTTTGAGAGAAACAAGCTCAATTGCTTTCCTGGATTATCCCTCATCTTTTCCTAATCCTTCCCGAAGACCTCTTATCTCAATGGCTAGCAGTATTTAGAAAACATTTCTCTTTCTTTAGTGACTGCCCTGTTTAGGTACTACCGATTCATAGCCTGATAAGAGTTCCGAAACAAAACCCTGCCTTGCTTTCTTTCTCCCACGAAGGCCGTTGTTCAGAGACCCAGTCCTGTTCTTCTCGCAGCTATTACCCCAGCTATTATCTGCTGCTCATCACAGACAAAGCCCTAAATTCTTCAGATCCTTCTTGACTCCATTAACCCTTTGTTTGCCGAACTGGGAAAGAGTCTCATAAGTTACTGCGGTCACTGCAAGAATTTTCCCTTATTTATTGCCGTAATTAGCCTAATTCAAGCTCTTATTTCTGTTCAGCTTGAGCAGTTATATACACGCATCTTTTTCATGTGAGCTGTCCTTCAGGAAAGCCCTTCAGTGAAGTGACTGCTGTAGTGAGTTCCCTTTCTCCCCATAGACACCACATGGGAGACTCGGAGCAGTAATACCTGCTAAGACCCATAGCCAGCACCTGAACTGCTGCACTTTCAGGTGCTTTTTCCCCATTAGTGCAGATAACAGAAATTCAGTTCTGCTCTGAGCTCCCTGTCTGAATAATATTATTTTATTGTGGCAGCTAAAGGACCCAACTGAGAACCAGCTCCATTTTGTGCTTCGTGATGCACAAAGATTGTAAGGGCTTCTCTTGTCCCGAGAGCTTGCATTTCACAGCCACAATTCTTCACATCACACTGTGCTATGACCTGCTCTTTCTTTCTTAAGACAGTCGAGCAGTCGGTGTCACATCGTCTCTATCTATTTAAATAATGGAGAAATCACTCTGTTGGCCAATTAACATCCATGCCTTTCCAAAGACTGCCACAGAGCTGTTGCCAGCAAAAAGGCCTTTCAGGAGTTAATTTGGGTAACATCTGCTTTGTGTTGTTGCTGTAGAAAGAGGTCTCTGAAGGAACACAGGGGTGCCCAAAGCGATCACAGTTCTGGAATTGTGGTGTTGCCATTGTAGACCGATTTCTTTCTGGAGAAAGGACTAACAGTCTGGAGAAACAGCCATCAATGGTCAACAGACATTTAAGATTATTGATACGAACACCCAAATTAAAGCCCTGGTTTGGAGCATGAATTTGAAGCTCTCCTACCATTCTAGCTTCACCATTTCTAGGATCCAGGAACGGTTTCTGACCAGAAATTCCACCTTGCACAAAAACCTCAGCTAAATTACATTTAATTGAAAAACTTGGGATAAAACAAAGGGCTGCTTTGAGTGAAAAACAGCTTTGGTCCAGTTGCACTGACCTCCTTGAGCATCTTTTAAGTTCCATCAGTAGAAGCTTTGCTGGTGGCCTGTGAGGAACTTTGCATAAGTGTTCCCTCATTGTCAAGCACATATCTCACACACTGTAGATTCAGCCAGTTGCTAAGTGGGAATCTCTGTTTATTGGGTATATGTGCATCAAATGCCTGGCTACCAGCTGGCAGAGGCAATGGCCTTTGCACTGCCACTTTGGCAGAGGAGCTCTATGACTGCCATCTGTTGGCTTCCAGAATCGCATTTTCTAGATAAACACAGCCTCCCAGTGGGAAATATGGCTTCTCATGAGCAAACATAAAATGTCTTTCCAGCTTTGGTGGGATCCTCAGGAACCTGCTGGATCATAACCAAATTGAAGCCATCACTTTACAATGGACGTAATTCTTCACCTTGCATCTCCTGTAAGAATATACTCATCTTTTCTACCTTGCCACCTAAGATCTGTATTTAAAAAGACAGAAAACAAATGAATATTTTGTTGTTGAGGGTTTTGTTTGTTTGTTTTTGCTTTTGTCTTTCCCCATTGGTGATGGTGAGTGTTTAATCACACTTTCATCAGAACGTGAATTTCTCTTTGGATTTCTCTCTGGGCTGCAGTGGCTGATCCTGGCTCAGAAAGAGACCTCAGGCTTCTGATCCCAATGGACTCTCCTGTTTTGTCCAGATCTGGCTGCTCTTCTTAGTTCCCTGAAAGGCCTTAAGGCACACAGAGAAAAAACTGCACATGTGTATATATATGTTTATGTGGGCAAGATGTGCGTATATATTCCCAGGGGTTTTATATTAATGCTTTATAAAAGGAGAATTCCTATTGGAGAAAAAAATATATATAATAAACCATGAGTTTTCTTCTGAACTGTTGTCAGGAAAAGCTATTTGGGTTCCCTGGGTGCTAAAGAATATCGTGTTCTTGTCATCCACAGAATGCAGACAGAACTTTCTGTGAAATTCTTCCAATAAATAAATAGCTTATGAATATAATATTTGCTACAGAGAGTTGCATATTTCCACTAAAATTTGGATAGCAGAGTTCAAAACTTGAGGTGATGGCTATCACCAGTGGAATCCGCACTGTCTTTTCTGACATAACCATTTCTGACAGGTTGATTAATAATTATAAGACCAGTACTCACGGCAACGGAATCACAACAGAACAGGTACATCAGTTCATAAATAATGCTATTCCCAACTTCTCTCTGTTAAAATAGGTAATATTCATCCCCTTTAAAAAGCAAATACTTGGGAAAAAAAGCAGTGTCTGACTGTTTCAAATACCTTAAACCAAAGTAGTGTTTACATTCCTTCCTTCCTTCCCTCCTTCCTTTCAAAACTACGCTGACAGAATTTCAAAACAACCCCAAATATCTCTTAGGAAATGCTGCAAAACAGAAGTTCATTACAAGACTCTGGTTTCTACACGTTCTCAAGGGCCAGAAAACTCTGGGGGCCTGAGATCAAATCCTAAACTGGACATGCTGAACAAAGCACCTGGAGCATTTCCTCTGAACCACCAACTCCCCCAGGACTGCTGGGTTCGTGTGTTGACTTCTCATAACGGAGCTTCCCAGCTTTCTTCCAGAGCAAGCTGCCTGTGTAACTGAAGAACCAGGAATTACTGATACTAGGAACTTGGCTTCAGCGCCCCAGGGCTAAACAAGCTCAAATTTGTGTTTTACCAGTCCAAAGAGACATTTCATGAGTTTCAGCCAGCATCACAAACACGCTGGGAAGGAAATGTGATCTTGGACTCCACTGTTGTCAGCACTGAGAGTCTGAGTGCTGCAGCAGAGTGGGGAAGCCTTTGAGTTCTATGAAAAACAACTATAGAAACGTTATTTTCTTTCTTTTTTTTTCCTCTTATTTTGTTTTCTATGTTGTTTTAGTCTTACTCAAAGATTAAACATTGGGAATTGGGCTCATTAAGATGTATGGAGTTTTTTGTTTGTGAGCAGGGACGTACAGAAGCCAGGCTCTGAATCAACAAGTTGCTTAACTTTTCAACTTAATCATAAGAACAAATGAAAATCCTGTTGACTTCAGCATGTGCTTAATGCTTTGTTGAACCACAGCCTTAGTCCAGTTAGCAAACTTGTCATGAACTGATCCTAATTTATACGAATGGGTTTATTATTTGTAAGTATTCACCAAATAGGATGAACAAATAATTTTTCGACCTATCGGCTTTTCCTGTTTGCTTTAGACTGTTTGCCAGTAATTCATTATTCATTACAATTGGTCAAGTGCAACACATGATGCTTGTGGACACAAAGGAGAGGTGGGGGAAGAAAAAGAATAATGAATAATGAATGCTGCATTTCCTGGTCTGAAACTTCATGCCAAAGTGGGTGAAACATGACAAAATTGCAAACATTTTATAAATTCTCAGTAGCTGACTGGATGCTCATTGAAAGAAATCGTAAGACTTCAAGTTTCACTGTTTACTCAGTTTTGAAGGATATTTTGATATACTCAGATATTCAAAAGAAGTAAGTGCCAGAAAATGCCAATGGACATCCAGTAGGACTTACAAAGGTTCTTAAGCTTGTAGAATGCACACAGTGCAGCATAAGAAGTCTGAAATTCCCACTTGGTGTTTATCTGCATCCTGGACTATGTGATCTCCAGAGGTCCCTTCCAACCTCAATCATTCTGTGACTCTTTGAAAATCCACTGTTCAATCCCACCCAGTGTTCTCAGCATGAGGCCGTAGACAAATCTTCTGAATCATTACTTATGGAACAAAGAGCTTAGGAGCATTCCTGACCCTGAAGCACGTGCTTGAATCCCGCTGGAGGATGAAGTTGTACTGAGGATGTTGTGATCTCAGTGTGGGGAGAAAAGAGCAAGGAAGTTCTGGGGAGGAGCTGCTGGGATCCTTCCAGGGTTGCTCAGTTCCCTGAAGGCTGTAGAGGTGAATTCTTCAGGAGGCAACAGATCTGGTTGGAGGCAAAGGTTTTATTTGATTGTTTTTCAATCAGAAGTAATAACTTTTTTTTTTTTTTAAATAAAAACAACAAAAAAAAAGTGAACAGGTTTTTTTTTTAGCTGAAAGGCTTTTGGTTTGAGCAAATTAACAAGTACTATGGAAATGGTGATTTTCTGTAGAAAGCAGGAAAACTGTGTTCATGCGTTCAGCTGAAAATGTTGTTTCTATTCGCTGAAAACCTCCTTCCACTGAAACTTTTGGGGAAGGTTGGCAAGGGGCGAGGTTTTGTTGCTAGGATTTTGCACTTGGGGTGACACTGAGGGCATGGTGCT